AATTCTTTAAAAAGCCAGCTTGGTATTGAAAGATTAAGAATGTAGAAAATAACCCTATTTTCTTAGGCTTCTGACATTCCAAACCTAACAGATGGACAATAACCATCTCTGATTAGCTGGGAGACTTGCACATTAATTTTTCATACAGTAGGACCACCTGAGTGACTGAATTCAATTATAAGCTGCCTCCCTTTCTTGTTGGCCCCCCTTTTCCCTCCCTGTGTTATTAATGTGGCACCTCCATAAAAGAAATGGAGGGACCTGTTGAAATGTGAAACCCTTATTTCTTAGCATGACCCCCTAGATAATTAGGGTTAAATTGATATGCTATCACACTGGTGACACATTTTATCTGCCTCTGTTTGTACAAGAGGATACAATGGTGGAGGAAGGACCAATTTGTGTCCTCCTTTAACTAACCAGACTGAGATAAAAGGTGTCACTAGGACGATAACGTCCTCGCCTTGCACTCTTTTATTGTTGCTCAATTTGCTTTTTTCCCCCCTCTAAATCCTGTTCTTTCATTCTTTCAATACTCTCGGCCATATTTTAGCTCCATGCCATTGCATAATGATGCTCTGCTAAATGTGTGTGTGCTATCTGAAATTCTGGCTGACAGCCTTGCCCGATAACCAAATTCCTTGCCATCTATCACTTGCTGCCTCTTCTTAACTTAAGGAAAGTGATAACCAAAGCATGGCTGTTTATCACCGTGAGCTGGGCTCTTCTTTTCCAGCTGGAAGAAAAGAGAGAAAGAAAGCCATGTAGTCTTGCCTCCAATTTATATCACCTTTCCTTCTCTAGCTTTTCAGAATAGCAAAACTGCCATGTACTGCCGAGAAAGCTTCCTTGACATGGTGCTGGTTTGTAATTTTGCTGCAAAAATAATCTTTTTTTTAAAAAAAATTTCATAACTCCAGAAAATAAATGTATTTGTACAAAAACAGCTTAATGCCTTTTTAAGTTAGAGATGGAGCCTTAATGGATGTTTCCTCAGTTGATATCAGAATAGCATGCATGCACACATACATATTCAGATTGCAGCTCACTTAGTGTAGTACAGAACGTAATTGGAAATTGCAAAATGTAAACAAGTGCAAATATATTTTCTCCTCTGAAAAATACAGACCTCAGTTGAAAGCCTTCATACCAGTGCCATACATAGTAGGAACCATGAAAAATCAGCTTATCTTTGTACTGGGTAAGGCTATATAATTTTTATGTAACAAACATATGACAGTGATGGATATGATAAGAAATCAATGGCGTAGGTTGCCTGATACCTTGTCTCCATGGCGAGATGCTTATGGGAAAGTCCAACAGTACAATGTGAGGCTAATATTATTATACCAGTGTTTTCCAGGAACTGGTACTGTATTTCACTGATCGTGTAAGTAGTACCTAGTAGCTGTCATTATTCTCCATTGATTTGCTTAACTGTCTTTTAGTCATCTATGTTGGTGGCATCTATACATCTTGTGTTAGAAAATTAAGTATTTTGACTCAGCTATATAGAAAACAGTATTTCCTTTTTTCTGGCCTGTCAACCTTCAGCTTTATTCAGTAACTAGTTTCTAGTATATGACCTGGGAGAAAGAAATCTATCTACTTTCTCCACATTTGCATAATTTTAGCCTTCTGTTCCTTTTTAATTAGTCTTTTTTTAAGTTAAAAAATTAAAACATTGTAACCTTTCTTTGTAGATGTGTTGCTCCATCTCCCAAACGTTTTACTTATAATTTTCTATACAGTACTTTTTCTAGATTTCCTATATTGCTTGTGAAATACATAGTGATTCATTCATATATTGCCTTTGGATCAGTGTTGACTCCTGGCGATTGTCTGAACAAATCCCTGCAGTTTTCTTGGCAAGATTTTGGAAGTGGTTTGGATTGAGATAGATGTCCTTAGGTGATGACATGTTGCTAAATTGATGATCTTTCTGATATTTTGATCTGAGGAGGATTGCTGTGACAATAAGAATAAAAGTGTCCTCCAAGAACTTCAAAACTTGAATCCTGTTAATCCCAGAACTGTTATACTCATGTAGAAGAATATACATAGAAGATACTGTGTCCTGATCCATTTACCTGGGATGGGGAAAAATAGTGCCTGTTGGAGATGCCCAAGACTGGATAATATGTACACATATTATTGAACACTAAGGCAGGGTTGGGCTGCCTTGTATTGGCTAAGGCCGCATTTAACATTTGGGATGAGCTCTTCAGGACCTCCTGTAGGTGAAGTGGTGATGGAAATTGGCAGGGCCAGTTATTTTGCTTTTGTTTTTCTGGATTTGGGGATGGAGCTTTTAGTTCTATTAAGGTTATATGCGGGCTTACATTACAAATTTCAAGTGTTTCCTGCTTCAAATGACAGAAAGGTATTAACATTACTTTTTGACAGTTTTGATCAGGAAAAGCCCAAGGACTTTAAAAAGGGACCGGAGGGGCGCATGTTCCTTACCTCTATATTAAGGGGAGAATTGTATCCACCTATAGTAATCAACCTTGATTCTTAAGAGAAACATATAATTCTGGCAATTGCTTCCATAATTTTCTCATTAAAGGCAATAATAAATTATTGTATTCATGCTGTTTGGTGAAACTTAAATGTTAGTGCTTGCTTATCTATAGGGCTGAGCTAGTGGAAATCCCAACAGGAAAGTCGCTGGTTTTATTTTGCTGATGCTAACCAGGCCATTTGGGTTTTTTCCCCAACCTGACATCCTCCAGATATACTGAACTAAAACTGCCATCATTGCAGCCATTTGGAATGTTGTCTGTAGATGATTGGAGTTGTACACCAACACAGTTTAAGGCTACCAGATTGAGGAAGGATATCTTACCTTCTTGGGTACAGCACTAATGCCACTGACTCCTCACTGACTGCTTTGCCCATCGCTTCTCTTTTTTTCTTAAAAGAATCCGTTTAAGGAGCACAGTTTACATCAAAGTGCTGGGTGCAAAGTGCATGCTTGATTTGCATATCCAATTGCTTGGATTGAAGTAATTACCATGTGTAAATGGATCTATTAATCACTTATTTAATTAATTTTTGGTCTTTCCTATGGCCACCTAATTCATACCCAATCCAGCATTCAAAGCATCTTTAAAAATCTTTAGCAAAGCATTAATAAGCAATACGACCTGTTAACTACCCCATATCAATCAAGTTGATTGAGTACAAATGAATTTACATTCTAAAATAATGGACGCAATGTCCATTCTTTTCTCCACCAGTAGCAGAAGGCTGTATATATTTCTGTGTGTTATGGGTTATGTAGCAGGTGGATTGACCTGGAAACCAAAGTTCAGTACTCCCTTTTGTTTGCTTCCGATGACAGAAATAGGATTGTATTTAATATCCTAGGATGCTAAACGTTTGTACCTTGCTTGCATATGCTTGTTCTGGCAATCTCTTTCCTGAGGATCTTAAATCTATGAGGTGTTAAGCCTGAACAATGTATTTAAACTTGTATAGGAAAAAAAGGACAATTCAAGATGAACCTTTTCCTCAGACCCCAGTATTGCTATGTTTAATGGCACCGCCGCCTCCTTCCCTACAAAAGTTTGCTACTTAGCATTGCACCTTTGCATATGGGGGGATGTTAGGACATAGTCAGTGTATATATAGCTCCATTCTCTTTAAAAGGGTTTAAATATTCTGTTCAGACAGATGCAAAGTATTTTTCAGTGACAGCTCTGGGAAATGACATAGCCAACTCATTTTACAACTCATTTCATTGAGTACCATCTATTAGTCAATAAAGGGATTCTTTGACACAAGAAGGTATATATTGCAAGCCATAAAACAAGTATAGAGAGTTGTCATAATATCTGTGATGTGTTGTGGGATGTGTATCATTGTAAGCGATGAATTGAGGCACATGGAATGAGAGGGTATTTAAAGTATATTACTCTTTAAAAACAACGAAATAAACTTATTTTATGAGCACTCCCAAAGTACTTGTAATTTTTTAAAAAATTGTTTTTTAACTCTTGAAAATTCAAAGATAAAATATAAGGATGTGTGTTTCCTTTGGAGTTGTCACTGATGGTAAATGATCCAGCAGTTTGGCAACATTGTTGTTAATATAATTGGGGGCAATACAAGGAAGATTTGTGCCATAAGCTATCTTCACTCGTTGAAAGACACCTATAATGACCTTTTAAAAAACTTTTTTTTTTTTTTGGAAATGTATGATCTGTTGGTTCCATCAGACTTAACTCACTTTTTCCTTTCATGGCTTTTCTAAAATATGATTTATATTTCTCTAATTTGTATTATAACTAAATTATAATTATTTTGCATTTTCAAACTGCAACTGTATTTGTTTTCCAATGAAACAATGGCAGAGCGGGGAGAGATAGTGCCATTAAAGAGATCATCACAAAAATATTTCAGGCACCCAAGTTCTGAGCAACTCCTTACTATATAAGTTTTTCTTATTCATTGTCCCATTCTATCTTTATAGAACAATTAATGTTTAATTTTAAAGTTAAAAGGAAGTTGGCTTGTGACAAAACAAAACAGTAGCTTCATAACCAACTTTACTTCTCTTAGAATGACTCTGATCCCCATAGGTACTTTTAATAAATAAAAACACTGAGTAGCTATAGCCCAATACTTGGTAAATGCACTTACCTACATAGAAAAAAAATGCAACAGTAAATTGATAATGAATATCTGAAGGACTAGAGAGATTGGCCACCCATAGTGGCAGCCAGTTTGTGACTCGGCAAACACCTTGAGGCAACCATTTTCTTTGAGTGCTTAATAATTTGCTTTCAAAATGTCAGATGTGCCTACCTTCCCAAAAAGATTGGGGATCCCTGAAGTAGAGGAACATGCACTCCTAAGCAGTCTGGGGTTTGAGCTGAAATACAGATGGTGCATTTCATTATCTCTTCTTTCTTATAGCCAACATCTTAAATAAAAAAAAGCTCTTGAGTGCTTAGGCTGTTCTAATTGAAACCAATCTGCTGTTTGTCTTACAGGTTACCTGGACAATGCCAGTACTTAGGGCTTCCAGTTGCTGATTACTTCAAACAGTGGATTAATCTCAAAAAGGTACTTTCATTGCAGATATGTCTGTCTTGCCCACCCCCACCTCAGTCTTTGTTGCCTCTTCATTTCCATCATTTCCCCTTCCTTCTTCTATTCTCCTTCTCTTCCTTCAAGGAGGTATTTAATAAGCACTGCTGTTTTGCATTGAAATGAGGAGTTATTTTCTCAGAACCTGGGTGAAGCAAAGTTCCTATTGTATTTCCCCTAATAGAGTCTTACCGTACTTGATGGAATATGGTCTGCAGCTGGAAAATCTCATTGTGGCCATCCTGATGCAGCATCTCTATGCATAATAACTTAGCATCTCTCTAGGATAGGTTGGGTCAGCTGGAGCATATCTAAATTTTCCTTCCACAGAGTTTCTAACTCTCCCTCCGCACCCCCAACCCCAAATATTAGCTAGCTGTTTTTTATTTGTGAAGGTCTTAAAAAATACATAGAGAAATAGCTGGCGTAAGACTTTTTGCTTTATTCACTTTAACAAAACCACCACTGATCCTCTTTCTTCTTGCAGTTAAGTGACTGTGGTTATAGCTGCTGAGGCATGGATGCCTCCTTCATTTCACACTTTATTGATGGATTACTCAAATACCTTACATTTTTCTAGAAAGCTTCTTGTGTACCTACACAGATTAATATGTGGACCCACATACCCCAACTGAACCCAACTCTTTATAATATGCACTTAGGAAGTGGAAATTGGCAGTGCGATCAAGAAAGCAAAACTCGTGCAGTACATAGACCTGCAACAACTTTTACAATTATTTTGTTTGAATCGTGGTATACAGAAATGGAATAGTTTTGCATTTTAAATTCTTTTCTCTTTAAATAAGAACTTGCCAGATGAAATATGCTGATAATATTGTCTTTCTCATTTTATCTGTTACATAAATAAAAAAACAAGAGTTATTCTGAGCAGTAATGGAAGGAAAATTAGCATAATCTGTTCTGTCAATTCAGAGTAGGGCACAAGTGTAATGAGGGAGAAGCTGGCACCATGTTCCTCAGTTTGACAAGGATTTCCTTCATTCCCTGCTGTCAGAGCAAATCTCCTAGCTTATTGCTAGCTTTCTGCAAATGTAAGCTGAAAGTATGTTGAGGCATTGTGCAACTCAGTAACCATTAATAATTGCCATTTGAAGTTCACTAAACTTTGGTGAATGTATAGGAATGATATAACCAATCAATGTTGATGGATATATCAAAAAAAGAAGTAGAATATCCCTGTGTGATAACATTTGATATTAGTAGGGTGAAACTCTTGGCTGTATTGCACTTGCACTTTGGGGCAGTATGTTACATCTTTTTGCCATCATTTGGGGCTATTGGCTTCTCCTTTTAGAAGTCTTTCATACAATCCATTCTTACATTCCAACAGAGGGAAATATTTTGCTTTCTAAGAGAATAGCTTCATGATATAGAACTTTGATCAGAATTCATGATATTTTTATATCATAGAATGGGAACAGCACAAAACCTCAGGACAGAGACCCAGTACAGATCAGAGTTCCTGTAGGGAAAATAACAACAATTGGGGTTAACATCAGTTGTATATCACTTGCTTTCTTATCAGATATGGTGACCCATGCTGGTTAGAGGGAAATAAAGCTAATTTGCTCTGCTTAGTATAGGAGGAGTAGGATTTGACTGTGTGCCAAGTCCTCACATTTTCCAGACTGTGAAGTGAGTTCATTTAATCTTCAATTTGAAAAATCTCCTGCTCATGGAAAAACTCTAGCTTTTCTTCTAGCTTCTTGCGAATCGGGCTTTCTCTTTGCTGACTTGTCTGTGGTCCAAAGACAGCCATAAATAAAAACTTCACTTGCTATTTAAAGTAAGTAGAGCCAGAATTCCAGTGAAGATGCTGAACGTCTTTTTCTCAATTTTCAGTGTGATTATGTTGTATTAATCTTGTCTATAATTTCTGTGAAGATTGTTTTAGATTGAATGGGTGGGTCTATCCCTTCTATATTACTAGCGTACTCTTCTGGTCATATTTTTAAAACAAATTTTCAAGAAGGATGTGTAAAAAATCCTCCATACTCTTTTCACTTTCAACTTTCCGAAACATACAGAGCTTTTGAAAGATAATGGAGGATAGGGAGAGACTAGAGCAAATAACGTGCGCATGGTGTGTAGGGAGAAAAAATGGAATATGCATGGTAAGTAGTGAATGGGCAGTAAGAGAGAGGCCAAGTGAGTGTAATGGCTAGCAAAGGTTAACGTATCTTTTCGCTGCTGATACGGTCATCTTTTGGAATTGCTAAAGAACATCATAAAAAACTGATGGGATTGCAGCCAGAAGTCTTACAGCGAGACATTCTTTTGTTCAGGGAGATTAGAAGGAAATATTTAAGAAATAACAGCAACAACTCACCCTGGAGTGTGTCTAGGAGCGATGAGAGAAGCTTTGCTACTGTTTCTGGCTCAGAGCATTTTGAAAACGTTTCTTTTGGAGACCTTTAATCATTTACAGATTTCATGTCCTGGTTCTGTATCTAGCCATTGGTAAAAGAATTGGTGACTCAGAAAGGCTGGCTATTTGATTGGGAAGTACTATTCTTAGGAAAGGTCAAGGCACCTGCATTTTCATTGTTTCCTATTCTTTACACTAGAACAGAGAGGAAACTGATTCATTCCTTGTAACCTTGCATGACTTAATAATGATATGCTATTGTTGTATGAGAAGCTGTCCGTTTTCCCACACCTAGCTGTCAGATCCAATAGTCCATCTTGGATATGTGAGAAAGGAAAGACATTCCAGCATGAAAAGGTTAATAGTAGGGTGGGGCAAAGTACTCAAAGGGACATTGTGCAAAGCACCTTGGTGAAAATGAAACACTCCTCTTTGAAATGTGGAGACAGCTGCATCACTTGGCAAGCTGGGTATAGCTGCCTTGAAAGCTGTCCAGTCATCTCCACATGTATGCACATGTATAGCCATGTTGCTCTACTAGCAGTCGCTGCAGAATCTGTGCGCATCCACATGCAGAACGCTCTGGAAGAACCTTGAGCCACGCCAAGCCTTCCAGGAGTTGCTGCTGCCTCTGTACTTTGAGAGGGAATGTTTCACTTGCATCAGTGCACTTCACAAAGCACCCTCATGAATACTTTGCCCAGTCTTATTACTGGCAACTTGATACTTAGTGCAGTGACTCAATGAAATCCAAGATTTTAGGATAAACACAAAACCTTGCTTATAGCTGGATATGTTGTCAGAAGTTTTATTTTCTGCTGTCCTTAAATGCTTCTCCTTGCTAAACCATATTGCATTCTTTCTGACATTTTTAATGTCACTGAACTATCTTGTATTTTTTTGTGAGTCATCAGCTTAGTGAGGACTTAGGGCAGAGAGTTTATTATGTTTTATGTCTTGACTAGATCTAGATTTGGAAGTGCTGCCCAAAATATGGATGTTATTAGAATGTTTCTGTATATCAGATTTTTCCTTAAGCCCTGTCAACAGGCAGTGTTGAGATAGTTGCTGGAGCTTTTTGACTGTGTCTTTACTTCTGCTATTGTCAAAGGCAGTATTTACCATTAGCAGAGATTCTAGGGGACAGAATTAAGTTTCATACACAGAAGCGATGTTGCTTTACTTGGAAAGCCTAAAGTTCTATTAGATCAGAATAGAAATGCACTAGGGAAATGGCAAATGCTTGAAAATAGTTGAGAGCAAAAACAGAAGCACGTGAATAAAGTACTGGCGTGAAGAAAAGTACAGGGCAGGATAGCAAGGCATATTTAAGAACAAAAATATATGAGATCATGTACCCATAACAAAAACTCTCCTTGGGGTTTTCCCCTTTATGGGAATTCACAGAATTGCTCTTATCTAAATAACTGTCTAAAGTCATGTACTTGATAGAGCCAAAAATGGCAATTTATCATTGAAATATGTGCTACAAATTCCTCAGGACAAGAGAAAGCTTTCTTTCTTTGTCTGAAAATGCCATGAGCATTGATGATGCTGTATAAACGATTGGTAGTAGGAGTTGCCGTATAATAAAATGCAGTTCCTCAGGCTGTGTAATAAAACAACTTTGATTACAGGGAGCAAAAGGGATGTTCTCATACAAACAAAACAGCCTTATTCATCACCAGTGCTATCTCCATCCATCCACTTGATATATTACTATATTCTTTCCATGTAGTCACATCTCAAAGTGGTATATAAATAAAAAATGGGGAAAAATACAACAATAAAATACGTTAAATTAAAGCAATATAAAAGCATATTCATTAAATGGGAAGGTAGAATGGAAAAAAAAACACATAGGCAAGGGCTGGGTAAAGAGAGAGATTTGTAAAGACATAATGGTAGGTGCCTCCTGGATTTAGGTAGGATTTATTTCAAAGAGAAGGTGCTACCACAGAGAAGACCTGTCTACAAAATTCTGTTAACTGTGGAAGAAGCAGCAAGATCTCCATATATCCAGGGAATGTGATCATGTGCATGCACCCTCTCTCTTTAACAGCCGAGGCAGTTATTTTAACAATTTTAACATGTGCGTGGTCAGGTACATATGCATGGTCAGGTGCACATGTCATTCAACAAACTGGTCTTTGCATTTTCTACCAGTTGCACCTTTAGATCAAGGATATCCTCATATATGTGCATTAAACTAAGGTAAGCAACAGTAGTTAGGCTGTCATTGACCAGAAAAGAACATATATTAACTGTAGCTGATAATAGACAGGCTTGCTCATAGAGGTAATTTGGGCCTTCAGTGACAGTGATGATCGTATGAGCTTTCCTAATTTTGGAAAAAGTATAACTGTATTTAGAACAGGCAGATTCCTCACTTCTCATACCAAGAGGCATGCACCCATAAGGTATGGGTTTAGTTTCAATTCTTTGGTGTATCATTGTTTCTATACTTTACTCCAGAACATGCATAACCTCCCCTGATTCAGATATTTATATATATCATATTTATATTTCAAATTTGTCACCACCCATCTTGTTGAAACAACTCTGGGTGGTTTACAGCAGAGATAAA